AACAAACATCTTATCGAGTAGCGTAACTGCTTTGCATTCTCTTTGAATCAATATTACATCTATAATTTAAAGATTCGAGTTCGAGATTTATATATCGAGTTGATTCCAAAAAGGAGTAAATGTAGCAGCTAAAAATATACAAATCTTTCAAGACTTGAAATTATTGTATACTGTTTTAAGTACGAACTACTTCAAGTGTTGTTGAAATTACTGTATAATCTGTTGTAATCAAGAAAATATTATTAATAGTATAGCATTTATCTTAGTAGACAGTCAAGCTAATTTGAGGTTCTTTAACGCAATCTCAAACCATGATCAATTTTGCAACCCATAAGGTTTACTGGTAGATAGCAATCTTGTGCAATGTACAATAATAAAACGTTATTCGAGGAAAAGTTAGGTTAATTGGTAGTTAATTGACTAGGTCTTCTACAGTGCGTAAACGCACAATAGCAAATCATCCCTTTTTATAATGAGAGACGTAGTTATGACGAAAAAACTTATATATTTTTTATTGGAGAAAGCTTATCAATCTAAAATTTTACTTTCTTTATAGTCTTAGTGAAATACATGAGTTTTATGTGGACAAAAGCTTTAATAATAATTTAATGATAATTGCATAGATAGTTTGCAACAGTATCTGTTTAGGCAATGATGGAATGATAATTCTAATTTAACCAAAACTAGATATGACAAGATAAAGTAATGATATATTATGGCATTATCCTGCTGGAAGTCAGAAGAACAAATGCTTGATTGTAAAGTTATAGGACAAAATTTGCTCTAACAATTGCCTCAAATTGATGGAGAACCCCTGACTTTGCGATACAAAGTTATAGTTAGCTGCACCCTGATTTCTTATATCAGATTGGATTAGTTGAGCTTAAAATTTTAGTAACTACATCAATTGAAGTTTAGATTGTTAAGTTCTGAAAATGTGCTGTATGAACTCCTCTTTTATTAATTTATGAACTTTATAACATGAAATGAAGTTCTTAGTTCACAGATGAACAATATTGAAATAGATGCAATCTTAGTAGTTAAGTGTATTAAATTTAGCGATATTGAGATATCAAAAACAAATTCTATAATTGGTTCTAAATACCTCAGTATTATAACCCATAAGAAATTCAATTGGTGTCAGTACTTTCCAACTAATTATTAATTACTCTTAATTTTTTTAGTGGATTGGAGAAATTGGAGATCTGTTCCCATAGATATGTTTTAAATCTCTCTTTGTGTTTTTAGATAATTGATTGTGTAATCGGATGGACAAGTCTTTCTGAGTCGCTGATCTCTAAACGTTGATGCAGGTCTAATACTTCAAATAGTGCATATAAACTGAGCTATGTTCCTTCATATATACCATATGTAGACCATATGTATAGTGTACAAAGTATATAGTATACTAGTATACTATACTGTATAGCCTTAGTATATAGCACAGCTATACGTAATGTACATAATTTCAGCTTATCTGTTAAAAAAAAGATTTCATTAGCTGTTTATTGTTAGATCTGTAATTGGTTTCAAATATTTTAGTAGATACTTTACTTTACCTCCTCAATTACTTCAAGTTATGTTATTGCGCTGATCCTAAAGATCCATTTAAACTTGTTCGCCCGTTGTGTCGGTCAATTACTTTAAATCGTATTCTGGTAGGGGTTAACGTACAGGTGTCGTTTCATGTGTAGTGTGAAGATACAACCGCTTTTGAGCTACACAGCAATAATTCCCGAACTGCATTAAATCATTTTTGTTTATTTTTACTTGTTGGAAATGAAAATTCGCATTGCAATAAATTTGAAATGAATTACATGGACTTTCCATCAGTTTGTTAAGTAAATTATTTTACTGTAAAAAATGCTCATTAATATTAAATGATTTATCTAAAAAATCAGACAAGAAAAGTGGAGGTACACAGGCTTTTGAATTTGAGTTTGAATTTGAATTTGCGCCAGGACGAATGGCGCGAACATTTGCTCTAGCGAGTATTAATGCTTGTTCTTCGTAATGGACGTAGCGACCACAGGCGCTAGCTCTAAGCCCTCTGAACACACGGGCACTTGCGCCCATTTGTTATGTATATGAATGAGAAATAAATAAATAAATGAATAAAATACAAAAGTTATTATTTTTGCGCTGAAATGAAATGTAGCGAACTCATTTGTACAGTCGAATACTCTATTGCGGTGAAATTGTGGAATTGCGGCAGGGCTGTTGGCCGATGGCCGTTGTCTGTGGGGTTTGTGGAATGGTGTGCTGACGAACTGGTGAGCTGGTGAGCGGTTGCTGCGCATCAGGTGCGTACTGGCCCTTGAACTCAAACGGCCATTACTTTTGAAATGACAAATTTACATTTGCCAAATTAATTTTGTGGACGATTCAGAAAGAAGCAATTATGTTAAATAACATATAATGCCATATCTAATGAAACGCAGTTTCGGCACCTCACCGCAAACTAAAAATGGGCTGTACGCGCTTAGTCGCTTAGTGGTTACGAGGTGAAATAAAACATATGGATACTGCTCATGAATACTGAATTAATACAAAGGAATAGCGATTGAATTGATGGAAGGGCTGGCCACATATTGTTCCATATAACACAAAAGTATGATTGTATATGCAACAGATAGGAACAGTATATAGTGTCGCTTTGGTAGTGCTCTTATTATAACTTATGATGCAAATTTCTAAAAGAAGGATATATTGCTTGACAACACATGGCAGTTTCTACCAGTACCTGATCGGGGGAGGTAACTAATGTTCTCATTGGCAAATATTTAAACAATTGGGGTGAATCACCTCTTTAACCCCTCTTAGTGTTTAGACTGCTGTAGACGCATACTAAATATATAATAAAAGTTCCATCCTATAACTTTCATAAGTTTTTTACTTAATATATTTGATAAGAAGGTTGAACTATTTAAGATCAAGATGACATGCAGCGACCTGTGAGTGCTTGAGCGACAAAAGTAAAAGTCATTGCTGTTAGAACTGTAGTGCTATTAAGTATTGTATATTTGTATTGTTTTAATTATTGTTTTAATATTATAACGTGGTGACGCTGATCGTCAGTCTGTTTAGTAGAAAGTTAATGTTTCCCTTTCAAAATAGTTAATTGCATCCGTTCCTTTTTAGGCTATATTCTATTATTTTACCGTTTGTTACATTAGATTATAACAAAACATTTAATTCGTACATTTGACAAGACCACGCACAAGACGCACACAGCACATACTTAAAAGTTCTCTCTGTTGTATTGTTATATATCACGCAATTGTCGTTTTCTGCTAAGATCATATATTGGGCGTGTGTATTTAAGACCCGGTGGTGAATCAATCATTACTTTGGAGTTCTGTCAAGAAAGAATGAGTACAAAATTAGTGAATTTCCAGTTGGGAGCTTTACTGACATATTTTCTTACTTTATAGGTCCCTTGGCATCTATAAGGCCTTTATAGACCTTGGTTATAAGTCATTTGCATCTTTTTTTGAAGAATGTGTGAGATCATTTTATGAATCCGCGAGGGACATAATTAAGCATAATAACAGGTAGAAGGCAATTTATTTTAATCTAATTACTCTATCACTCTAGATTTCAATAGAGTAACATTGTACATTAGGTGTAATAAGTGTAATACGGTTCTCTAAAAAAATTTTTTCACTTTCCAATCGTTTTTTGACCAAGGATAACTAAGTATATTTTTGTTTTCAGACTGGATCACAAATGGTGTTAAAAATTGATATGAAAGGCGTTAACAGTGTTATCATTAAATAACAAAAACGTTTCATATATATAGTAGTTAGTCCAGTTAAACAGTTCTTATATAACAAATCTGGGGTACCATTTCGATTCAATTAGAAATTCAATTCTCCAGCATTTATTTTATTTACCGTGACTTATATTCTTTTTCAAAGCATTCTTTTTCAAAAATGTTACCAGTAATACTATCACAATATATATTATGTGTACAGTGTGATACTTTTTCTGGTGATATAATGTATTCAACTGAAATTTTGAAAAATAGTTGATTTCACCAGGTAAGTGTCACTTGTCAAAGAAATAACGTTTTTACTAATAACCCTTTTAGTTCGTTATTCAGATTTATCCAGAAATACTTCATTGAAATGGTAGTTAATAAATATAGCATTTAAAAAGTTGGTTCTGAATTACGATTCTGGAAATAGATGAAGAGTAAGATGAGTAGATTGGATGGCATTGAATAACAGGCTTCTGGGCCAATAGCAATATAAGTTAGTCTTTTTGTTTATGGCTCCGTTCTTATAAAAACCGAAATCGTGTTCACTATTTGTGTGAGTTTTTTATAGTTTATCTTAATTGTTCATTACTCAATTGTTTCATCGGTTTTCGAATTACTATCTTGTTATAAGACTGGGAGTTTGTGTCAAGAATATGTACTTTCCGTTTGAATTTGAGTAAAGCGATCAACTTCCCTTGGTGATGTTATTAAGTTTGTGACATTAGATCATATCAAAATGTATCAATTATTTTTTCAAAGTAAAAACAAAGCACATGTCAGTGAGCTCGATACAATTCTAGACCTTAAAGATGAAATAATATGCATCAGTATTGAGAAATAGCCCCAACTATGCCACAAGATAATGGACTTCATTAATACACGAATTATGAGTTGCCAAAGGAGACGTGGTGGGTCTTTTTCAGGTATTGTTTTCCATAAATAAATAATAAATAATAAATGAAATTTATATTCGAAAATACCTTCGGTCGTATGGAATCACACTATATAAGCAAACGTTATTGGCTTTATAAGTTATTTGAAAAAGACTAGGAATATGAATTCAATATATATTTAACCAATAAATTTTCAAAAATTGAATTTTTGAACTATATTTTTATTTCCATTTTTATTTATTAAATTTTTTATCTTCGAACTGGAATATAAGCAAATGAAATTTTTCTTTTTTAAATTAATATCAAAGGCACTTCTGAAATATTAATGATTGCTTTAATTTCAGCTTGGTCCTGCTCCAGCGGGAAGAGGAATGTTTTGCTATCAATGTCCTCCTGCATTGCATCCATGCGGACCGCACCCTCCTCGCTTACCCTCCTTGGAATATCCATTTGCAGCCACACATCCTTGTAAGTATCGCATTGTTTTTATAATATTGTAACTGTGGCATATGCAGAGCAGGGTCACCATTTGCTCCTGTGTAATTCGCATAGAAAGAGTAGTGTTGTGCCTGAAAATGCACAGCGTTATCATCCAAGCAATCTGTCAACGAATTAGATAAAAAGCCAGAGATAATCCAAGAGTATATCAATTTGGTTGTTTATGCGCCACCAATGCGTATACCGCGTAATCTATCAAGGGTTGAACGTAGTGCATTAAGGAATTATGTTATCAGAAATACATACACTGCTAGTATCCGATTACAGGCGCGATGAGTTAGGCTGTTCGCGTTCTGAAGTGCGGAACAATGAACTTATGTCTTTTCAGCATTTTGTATATATTATATATTGTATATTATTATTGAATTATAATTATTATGATATTTAGATAAATGGTGATAAGCTCTCGCTCATACATGGCTAATGCGAGTGTGCGAATGAATGTGCATTAAGTGGCATATTTGCACAAATGTTCCAATATCGTCATCACAATTCCATAAATTATTTAATGATTTTTATCTGGATTTGCGCATCTCCTTGTTGTTGGCACCAGTTTTCTATATTGAGGAAAAACATTATGTCTATTATAGTTGATACAAAAATAAAAGGATGCCGTAATAAGCTATAACATCTCCATAGCACTACAAAATAAATTAATTTCTATATCAGCACTTTAGTATCGTCGGTATTATTTTTTTGTTCTTAGCACAGAATCTTTGTGTTCAAACAGATATGCTTAATGGTCGTGTTTTAACACAAAGAGCTGAAGTAGGTAAAAAGTTTTGTACTAAAAACGTCGTTAAATCGTTCAGATTAAGTCCTAAATAAGCGCAGTCACATATTTCTTGATGTATTAGCTGGGCTTCAAATCTTGGCTTCAAGCTGGGCTTTGCAAAGTAATCATACTCGGCATAAAAAGTATGGTAAGGTCGCAGTGCTTCTTTTTTATTTCTAACTTAAGATCCTGTTGTTTATTAAACATAATTAATTATATTATATATCTAGTTTTAGAACATATAATTTCTTAATACTTTATAAAGCTGAAATAATATCTTTTGTTCAGTTAGTGACTTGCTTAGAATATGCGTTATTCACTTAAAAGTGCGATTAACTAATTGTTAAATTGTTTCACAAAATTTATTCTCTTTTCATTAAGAAGACATGAAAAGAGAATGTATGCTGTTCTTTGATTATGGATTCGCTTTTTGAGCGCAAAAGCTTACTTGCACTTAGAAGAGGTGAAGCCCCCATTGAATCACAATAGACTCCAGTTTTATATAAGTACTAATAGCATTTGCAATCGGGAGTATCGTTACAGTGATTGTAGTCTAATCAAACTGATTTTTATAAGCATCACTTTATTACTTAGGACTTCATTAAGTGAGCAGACTGTATTCAGTGTAGTTAAACTTATAGTGCTTCTACACGTTTGGAAGCCTACGCCTGATATGTTTATTTGTGTATCAAGTCATTGAACTGACATGATGAATTCTATTGTCACAAGTTTTTTCTTTTCTTCTTAAGTGATAAATTATAAGTGTTTCCAAGCCATAAAGCAGTTTAGCAACAATTGGTTCATTTGATCTATATTATTCTTCTGTCTAAAACACTAAATTGTTAGACAATTCGGTGTCTGACGATTAAATGAAATACTGAACTCACAGAGTTTGAATATCAAAAATTGAGGTGATAAATTATAAGTTTTTCTATGTCATAGAGCAATTTCGGACCAACACGTTTATTGGATCTTTATTATTCTTCAGTCTAAAACACTAAATTGTTGACAATTAAGTGAGATACTGAATTGACAAAGTTGGAATATCAAAAATTTAGATGATAAATAAATGAAGTTTTTCCATGTCATGAAGCAATTTAGGACCAATAGGTTTATTGGATCACTATTATAATCCTGTCCTAAACACTAAATTGTAGAGAATTCAATATAGAGTATTAGAGCTATTAAATGAGACACTAAATGAGACATCGAAACTCATATCATATCATGGTAGATGTAACTCAGGTTGGTTAAATATGTACCAGAGTGTGAGAATAGCACACTATACTACAATCTATTGACGATGCCTAAAGCTGAATTGTTTATCATATGACTTGACATTTTAATAGTAAAAAAATTTTGAACACTTTAAGATGCTTAAACTGCAATGGACGAATTAAACTGAGGGATGTATTGTAATTTAAGAATTGATGAAAGCATCACAATTTTATACGTAATTTGTCATTATTTATAAATTGCATTAAAGTCGTTTTATTCATTAGCCACTCGTACATTCTAGCAGGAAACTTCATTTGGGGACTATAACGCTATGCTCTGATTATCCGTACATGTTGACGTCTTAAGTATTTCACGCTCATAATTTATTCACTACACGACCGTAAGCATATGTCCACATGTGCATGTGTATGTATGTGCGTGCGAGTTGGTGCGTGTGTACTCATGTGTATGTACAGAGTATGTCTGTACAGCGCTATGTACGTGGCTGGGTGCACACTGACTTGAGCAGAATTAAGTTTCTGCAGCAATTTAATGAGTGAAACGAAGTTTGTTTAGCTGAAGTTCGAAATAGTTTAGTCACATCGGAGTTTATTTTGACAGCATCAGGCTGGAATTAAATCTCTTGAATATGAATTACGTTTGCACACCTTCGATGCAAAGTTAATTTTGCAGTAATTGCATGAAATGCTTCTAAGGTGAGGTGGGGCGCGACAGAGCTTTATACATGCTTACATATGTATATACATGACACATATCGCATGCACACATCCACTTATTCCTGTTCGGTGAAACTGGCGTAAGACGAACTACTATTGCCAGCTGGATGGCCGAATTACTTGAAATTTCATATCCCTTTAATGTGTTCATAAGTCCAGCGATAATCCCATTATATCTTAAGCAGTCAAGCAATTCAAATAGTTTGATGCATAATGCAAAAATAAGCTTCGGATCCATAAATTGGCAATGGAAATTTGCTAGAAATTCATATATTTTAACTATATTGTTAAATATTAAGTTGTGGTAATAATGCATCCATTAGTAATATCAACCGGATCAGAAAAGATGAACGTACACACCTGTAATGAATTTCAATGTATTTCTATTAAAAACAGCTGCCCAATTAAGTTTCTTCACACATTAATTTTTTTTCTCACATATAAAGCACGTTTTTAAACATTGGTTATGAACAAATAGACTTCTACAAAGCCTTGAGTAACAATATAGTTAGTTTGGTTAAGTGATAGGAGGCCCCCGAATCCTCCCCAATTACCTACAAAAGAAGAGTTTAAAGGTTTTATAACCAATCGGAAATAATTAAAGTATAATTATAGTATATATTCTTAAATCGGGAATTGGATAAGTCTGAACATTGTCACAATAGATGTTGCGGTATCTCTTTCTCAAGCGAATGCGATTTACGCAAGAGTTGATAGAGCAGCCCTAGCATGGTTGCATCTCGTCCAATGTCCTGTGAGACCCCAAAACATTTTTAAAAATATTTATCTTGTTCTTGAGGACTCAGTCGAAAGTCAGAAATTTCAGATTTTGAATATGTAGTCCATGTCACCGCACTACTAAAATAAATTTTTGCTACGACTGGCAGAATTTCTCGTGTTCTACCGAAGAGACACCAAACTTCAGTTATCTTAGAATGTTACTTACAGTAATGAACTATCTTGGAGCAGAGAGTTTATATGTAGGCCATATTGGCCTTTACCTATTTGCTGAAATAATATTAATAATGTGGCTGGCAGTTAAAGAAATTAAAACACGGGGCGTGTTAAAGATGCAGTGAGTTTTGGCAAATCATCTGTATGTTTGTTTACCGTTATATTTGCATGACTGGAAACTTTAATTAGAGTTACTTTGGAAATACTGTTCTATAAATTAATAATTTTTCCACATACATTCATTAAATTGATATTAGAATAAAGACCTATCTTTCCTGAAACCTATTTTTTAGTTTAACAACAAGAGAAGAGGTTTTTAGGATGGCAAATGCTTTCGCTTAAAATACTGACACAGAGTATACATGAACGATAAGTTATTATAGGATATCCAAAAAGTGCTGTTATCCATCAGTATAAATCATTATTTTTTTGTTCTGTAATTAGCTTTGCTTCTTAATCTTTCTTATCGAAGATCCACTTTTTTTACTTAATTGTAGGGACTATTATATTTGTGTTTATCATCGAAACTTTATACAATTTTTTTGATTCAACTAAGGCGTATATATTTTTGTAGGTATAAACACGCTAAATATAGCACATTACCAAATGGTATATTTTTAAAGCATGGTACTTTTCCTTTAGAGGGTAAATATACTATGCTAACCACTAAAATATCATCATACCTTGCTATTTAGCTAAGATTGCACTGTTTTATAACTAAAAAAATAATATATAAAATATTATTACCGTACTGCCATATACGAAAATTAAGTTCTTGGTCAAGACATACTATCATTCAAGTCTGTTATCATTAATGAGGTATCATTAAGTTTGCACCCAAGAAACAATTTAAATAGCTTAACTTCAGTTATCCATAAGCCGCTGCTGATTAGGTTAGGTTACTAGGGCCGTCCGAAGATGCACTTAAACCATCTAAGATCCATTATGATACTCTTAAGAATTTGACACCTGTCAATATAACCACTTAGTACTAGCCACAAAGCCATTGACACTAGCTGGGGAAATAGAATTTAGCTCTCTTGAAAAATGCGACCCTAAGTAGGAGAGTCTATGTCTTGCGAAAGCAGGACACTGTTGTAAAAGGTGTACTGGTCATTGCTCTTCGTTATCCTCCATGCAATGTTTACAGTGCAAGGAGGTCCTGATATTGAGCCTCACGGCATGTCTTCCCAATGAACAGAGGCCCGTAATAATTCATACTCTTTTAGATAAATTTGCTCGGGATAGGTCGATTAGTTCCCCTGTAATCCATCTGCGAAGAAGGA